TGTCTTGGTGTTGTCTTCCTTGGGTCCCTTTTGTTGGGAGATCTGTGCACTTTCATGGCCTGAGACGCTATTTCCTTTCCCAGATTAGGGAATTTTATAGCAATTATTTCCTCAAAGACACTTTGTATCCTTTTTTCTCTCTCTTCTTTTTCTGGTTCCCTGTAACCTGAATATTGTTCCATTTGGATTGGTCACACAGTTCTCTTACTATTCTTTCATTCCTGGAGATCCTTTTTTTCTCTCTGTGCCTCAGCTTCTTTGTATTCCTGTTCTCTAATTTCTATTGCACTTACCATCTCCTCTACCTTATCTAATCTGCTTTTAAATCCCTCCATTATATGTTTCATTTCAGTTACTGTATTTTTCAAAGTTTCTCTCTCTTTCTTGGTGTCCTCCCTGAGATCTTGAATCTTTTTCTATAGCTCCATGAACATGTTTCGTATTTTTATTTTGAAATCTTGATACCAAGGAGATTGGTGATTTCAGTGTCACTTAGCCCTCTTTCTGGTGTTTGAGGGATTTTGGTTTATACAAAATTCTTTGGCTGTTTCATATTTCTAATGATTATTATGGAACAATAACTTTGTGTAGGCGGTGCCCTCTAGTACCCAGAAGCTCAATTCGCTGGAGCTGCCCAGCACCTGGAGCAATGGTGGGGATCACAGGCAAGTGCCAGTGACTGCCAGGAAGACAGCACTCTTCCTGCTTCCAGGCTGCAGTGCCTGCCTTCACTGCCAGGGCCATTGGGCCAAGTGTGCAGTCAGGAGCCTCTGCATTATGCCCCTGTAGCTGCCATAGGTGGAGCACCCTCCATCTGACCTGGAGTGATGGCAGGAGTTGCAGCTGAGCAGACTAGTGCCTTCCAAGTGCAAAGAGTCCCTTCCTGCTTCCTGGCTGCAGTGCCTGCCTCCACTGTTAGGGCCAGTGGGCTGAGTGTGCAGGGAGGAGCCTCTATACTACACCCCTGTAGCTGCTGTAGGTGGAGCTGCCCTCTGGCTGGTCTGGCGCCATGGCGGGAACAGCAGGTTTGCGAACCAGTGCCAGCCGGGAGGAAGGAGCGACAGGCTGCATATCATGGTGGGGGGCCTCAGGTCTGTGTTGTCAACCAGGGGGATGGAGTGCCTGAAATTCTCAAAAGTTCCCAACCTGCTGGACTGAGTGTGCCAGGATGATTTTGTCCACCTGTCCTTTCTCCTGAGCAGCAAGCTCTGTGTAATCCTTGCCCCTTTTGCAACCCTCTCACTGTTGGGAAGTCTTTCAAAATTACCACCTTTCTTCTATCCTGGAGCAGCCCATTGTGGGACTTGCTCTCCACAAGCGTCTAGAATCTCGGTCTCTCTGAGTATTCTGCCTGTCTTTGCTTTCTAACCCCACTAATCTCCAGAGCACCATGTAATGTGGGTTCAGGCTCCCAGAGCAGATCTCCAGGGGTGGGTGTTTAGCAGTCCTGGGTTTTTGCTACCTCCCCATTCTGTTTCTCTTCCTCTCATTGGTGAGCTGGGTTGGAGGGAGGGCTTGGGTCCTGCTGGATCACAGCTTTGCTACTTTACCCTTTTCAATGAGGTCTTTTCTCTTCCCCAGATGTAGGCTGTCTGTTGCAGTTTTCCCTCCATTCACTCTTTCAGGATTAGTTGTATGTATTGTATTTTTGTGTTATATGTGGTTTTGAGATGAAGTTTCTGCCTCATTTCTCACACCACCATGTTTTTCCACCCCCTACAGTGATCAGCCTGTTTTAGCCTCTTTTGCTATGGGGATTTAAAAAAAAAATCAGCTGTTCTTGGTACCTACAAGGGAAGGGCATTATCACTGTCAAGGCTACCGTGTACCAGTTTCTTCGTAGGTACCAAGTGATTTGTGCACACGGTTGTATTTGTTATTCTTTACAACAGCCTTAAGGAGAAGGGGTATGATCACCCCATTCACAGAGGATGATCAGAGAAACTAGATGTTAAGGAACTCACCATGTCACACAGTTACTAGTGAAAGAAGCAGAGTCAGACCTCAGCGCCCTCCTTCCAAAGCCCATGCTTTGCCCATAGGGTGTACTATCCTGGGAAGAGCTGGGATGAGCAGAGCGGGGCAGCTGCCACTCCAGCTCCACACAGTCCAGCTACAGACCTTCGTCTTCGCTCTGTCCATTTGCTGATGATAGTCTGCACGTCCAACTTGTCAACCCCATAACATACGTTTGTGTAGCTAGACAGCTGCTGTACAGGGCACATCCCTTGTTTCCTGACTCTCACACATGGTCACAACTCATTGCAAGACCACTGGGCTCCTCCTCCAGGTAGTGGTCGATGTGCTAAATGTATCTTAGCTCAGTCATTTATGAAGTGCCTTCATGAGAATCTGGAGGCTGGATAGGAGTCATTAGCCCCATTCTGTAGATGAGAGAGCTCTACTGAGTCATTGAATGGTGCAGCAGGGTCTAGAGGCCTGGATTGTCCAGAACCTATTCCATGATACAGTGTCTCATGAAAAAATACAAAGTATGGTAAGTTCCATACCATATATGGGCCTGGTGGACTGGCAGGCATCAAACAGGGCAGATTGTAGGCCAGAGGGATGACCTTGCCAAGGGGAGGATTTGTTACCCGGCCTTCCACACATGAATGCCACTGATGAGCAGGTGAATTTCCTGCTCCTTATCTTCTTACCTTCAAAGAGAGCAGCAGGAGAGAAGCATGTGAGGGTCAAACCCCTATGGGTGGTGATAGGTTCTCACCTGTGGCCACCCTGCTCCACCTCCCTGAAGACCCAGAAAGCCCAGACGGGGGGCTTGCCTGAGGTCACCTCCATGCCCCTGCCATGTGCTCCTGCCTCCTGCTTATTGATTTCCAAACCCTTTGCTGTTTAGAGGTTCTTCCTGGCCACTGGCTTTTTGATTTCACCTTGATTCATCTCCAAAGGGATCTGTAAACCAGGTTCCTCTAACTTTTCCTCAGAAGCAGTGGGTCATGGGAAATCCTTGACACCGCAACTGCCCTTCTGTACCTATGTGCTAGTTTCTAACTGAGCCAGTACTCTTTTGATTAATTGCACTTCCATTTTACCTCTTCCTTGTAAACACAGTTGGGTTATTTGGTTCTGGCAACTGTTTCTTCTTTCTGTGTTAAAAGAATGAACAGAAAGTTGTGAACTGCTTACATGACCTTCCGGTTGTATCCCTTCCTCTTCTCAGAGCTTCGCCTCTGCAGTGTGCCCAGCCATTGTACAGGTTTTGTCTCTGGGTTGAGTTTTATCTAGACATGGAAGCTTTCAATATGCTGTTTACTTAAACCAATTTGCTCCTCAAAGTAAATACTCGTTTTGTCTTCCGAGAGCATTCTGCTGCCGTTGTGATCGATTCATGCTGCAAAGCCTTTTATGACTTTTTGAAAACATCAGTGAGCACCTGATGCATGTTTCCTGTGAACATGTGGTGCTGGCTGCCATCAGAAAGTAATTTCAGCTGGGAAATGGTAGTTATATATGGCACAGTGGTCTCTCTGTAACAGCAGAAGTGAAGGTTAGACCCTTAGTTCTTGGTTTCTGACAGTTTTCTACTGATACTTAGCAGGACTCACTTGGTGGCTACCCTATGCCTTAGCGTGCTCCTCCACTCGGAAACGAGGAGACCGCCAGTAGCCTGCTGTCTCAGGTTGCTGACGCTAGAAGATGCTGTTGGAAGGAGAAGGCATCCCCCACCAACTGTGATCCCAAAGCTCATGCCTTCCCCTGCCCCACTTAAATGAGAAGGGTCTTCTGACTGAAAGAGAATAGGGTAAGGAAAAGAGGGTGAGAACTACATCCTTTTAGGGCTCCTTTTGTTGATCACCATGGAAACATCTCCTACATGCCTGCCACCCTTGCCGACCATCACAACTAAGTGCCGTCAGTTCTCTTCCACAACTGGAATATTAAGCTTTTTGCTTTTTCATCCTGATAAATACCAGAGCCCAAAGAGCATAGTTTATACTCCCTGGCAGCCCGCTTTAAGGATCAGGGGATGCAACTAGGCCCTGTCTCAGAGCTGTGAGTGACATCTAAGAGTGATTCTGGATTTCTCATAGAGGGTGCTCATGTATTGGTGGAGGGATCACAGACCCCTAGAGGACTCAAAAGCTGTGGGTCTTGGAAAGAGATGGCCTCTGCCCCCCAGGTGCTTTCTCAGAGCTGTGCAAGGGAGATAAGAAATAGTAACAATAAGCATTAGACACGAAAGGTATCTGGGGAGCCTGTGGAGGAGAGGAAGTTGTCCCCCTCCCAGAGTGTACCCTGTTTTTAGCACTTCTCACAGTGCCTATGGCTGCAGGCTCCGCCCTGAGGCATGTGTCCTTAAAGGACCCAAATCCCACCTGCTCCAACCAGTCTTCAAACTTGAACCTTTTTCTGGTAAATCTTGGCCGCACATCTCCACAGTAAATATGACCTTTTAGATAGGCAGGATTTAATGGTTTAAAAGCTCCATGCTTCTGACCAGCATGAGTGAGAGTGCACACAGGATAGCCCTCATACCCACACCCCATGCATATACATGGTAGGGTCACGCTGGCCCGGAGTGTATGCTCCCTGCTTGAATGTCTGTCTCCCCTCAGTACTGGAAGTATTCACTCTTTCCTTAGACTATGAAGGCTTTAACTAGGTACACAGTACTGACTACCTCCTGGACTGGAGGAAAGGGAATCAACCACCTTCTAAATCATGTAACTTAGAGCAGGTGGCTACTTCTGCTGAGAATTTTTCTCCCTTATAAGGCACTCTTCCCCAGCCCCTACACATGCCCCCATCAGCTTGGCAGCTTCTCTCTTTATTCACCTGTGAGCTTGGCAGGCTGTGGTGTTCACTACACAAATACAATAGTCACTTTAAGTAGAAAGACCAACTAAATTGAAACAGTGCCATGGCACAATAAGAGCCCCGTGCTCAGACCCTGACCTTGACAAGAGACAGCCTGTATGTCCAAAGGCAGGCACAGTTTTTTCGACACTAATATCTGTATGTTTCTGTCCCTGCAGCCTTAGGAAAATCCAAAGGTACAGTATCCTTGGGTAGCTACGAGGCCATGTTCAGTCTCTGAAAACTCAGCAAGCTGTGCCTAGTGAGCTCTGCGGGAGGGTGAATGTGCCATGTTTGGTTGCTTGGGCCGACTTACTTAAAGCTGTGTTCCCATCCTTAAAACTGAGTCGGAGCCGAGTGACCGGAGGTGTGATCAGCACCTCCTTGCCATGTAGAGGGCAGGTGCAGCCTGCAGCCGGTGGCAGCTGGGCCAGGGTCCTGGGGCTGGTCCTGTGCCCTGTCCTCGAGTGAGGAGGAGGAGGGCAGATACTCAGGCTGTGCTACTGGCTGGCGCCGTGCTCTCTGATGCAGCCAGTCCCCATCCTACCCCCTCCACCTGCCACTTGGGAGGAGTGTGTGCCCCCGAGAGGCTGCGTCTGCTCTGAGGGAAGCATGGGTCCCATGCCCGGCCCCGCCCAGCTGGCTTCGCAGAGGGTGGAAGCCGCGGGCGTGAGGCTGGGCTAGAGCGGCGGGATGCTGGGAGCGGCGGGCGGCCTGGCCGCCCAGGCCAGGAGGGGGCTAAGGCTGTGCTGTTGCTCTCCCAGCCGGACGTGCTTGAATGTGTCCGCTTCGTAGGGGCGGGGCGTAGCACCTGCCCTGTCACGCGTGGGTAAGCAGGTGTTTTTGTGTCCCTCCCCAGCGTGGGCGTGAGGGTCATGGACACTTCCTGGGTGGCTCGAAGAGGCTCGTCGGCTGGCAGGAAGGCCTCCTGTACGCCACCCACCGTGCAGCCCCCTGCGCCGCCCGCCGAGCTGGTCGCTCCGCTGCCGTCGCCCCTGCCTGAGCAGCCCCCTGATGGCCCCTCCGTGCCCTCGCTCTCGCCATCCGGCCTGGGCCTGCAGCCTGGCGCTGAGCGGATCAGGTAAGCGGCCACCGCCGCCCGAGGTCCCCGTCTGGCTCTGCTGCACCTGCTCCAGACCAGGCTGCTCGGATAACCGCCTTTCCCCCATTTTAAAGTATTGTGTGTGGCTTTCTGCATCTGCTGGCCCCATGTCACTCGTCAGATAACCCAGAACCTCATCCCCATGCCGACCTGTCGGGTGGCAGCTTGCTGAAGCAGTGCGAGGAATCCACGTCACAGCTCTGATTTCCCGCTTCCCCATGCCGTGGCCATTCACTGACTTTGACATCGAGATGCCCCATGTTTCTCCCTTCCTCTCCTGACCTTTACATTCATAGTGACCATTTTTTATTGCTAAGGTGGGTGCAGATTAGAGAAGGATGGGAGGTTAGGTGCTCATGCTGGGGACCTTTGCAGCAGCCACAGGGTTGTATTTCCATTCTTTTAGGGGAAGGAGAAAAAGGGGACAGTCTCAGCCCCATCACTCATTCAGTGAACATGTACAGAGGACCGTGCCCACCCACAGCCGACAGTGCAGTCTGTACCCTTAAGGCAAACCCGTTCCAGTGAGCAAATGCACAGGCAGTGTGAGTGCCCTGTCACACCAGGGTGGCAGGACAAGGCGGCCTTCCTTGGCCCTTCCTTGATGGGTGCTGTTTGTTTCATGTAGAAAGTATTTTCCCTGTGAAATGGGGACATGACAAGAGGAAAAGGGGACAGTCATAGAGTTTGAGGTGGGGACACTGATACTGGGTATGCGTGAGTTGTTGTTGGGGGCTCCCACTCAGGACCAGAGGATGCTGGTCTGGCTGCGTCCACTTGACAGAAGAGCAAATTCAGTGGGCAGGCAGAGGCTGATGGTTATGGCCAGAGAAGCTGGTAAGGAGGCAACGGGCAAACGGGATTAGCTGGAATGCTTCCCTTTTGGACACTCATTAGTATCCATATTCCCCATCCTGATTCCCCATCTCTGAGACTTGGTGCCAAACAGTATTTGGCATATAAATGATATTTCTAGAAAATGCCCTTCCAAGCTGGCTTTCCCCAGGCTCTGAAGGTGGTCCCGAATCACTAAAGATGGGTGGCCTTGCAGAGTCCCTCACAGGTAGGGAACATTGCCCACTGGCTCAGGTATTTAAAAGGTCATGCCCTTCAGTGGACCACCGTCTCTCCGGGGTTAGCAGCTCGGAAGCATTTCCTTTGGATGTCACTGTTCTTATTTGTCTTATGCCCTCCTTTTCTCTCCCCATCTGGATTCTTCCCAGTACAAACAGGTGTTCCATTGGTTTTTTTGTTTGTTTTTGTCTGTTCCCTGGACATTTGCAGCCCAGATGGTGTTTCCTCCGTTGCCGGATTCCTGTTATGGCTCCTCCTCCCCTGAGGATGGCAGGCCCCCCCTCCCTCTGGCTCCCTCCAACCTCCCATTCCCCACCCAGGCCCACCCCCTTCAGGCCTGGCGGCTCTCCACATCCAACTCATCAGCTTGGCGTTAGCTCTACCCCCAAACTCTGCTTCCTGCCCCTTCACACCTCAGCTCACTGAGTCCCATGTCCCCAGAACTAACCTGTCCTCGAGCGTGCTAACCCACCTTGTTCATCTAGCTCCTCCTAACCACCTTACACCCCACCTCACCCCACTGTGTCCGCCGCACCTGTGCTGGAGGGATCGGAGCAAGGCTAAGTAGGTAAATACTTGTTTCTGTGGTGGGGAGTGTACTGGGGGAGGGAAAGAGAAGGATGAGCTTGGTTCCTAGATGCCCTGGACAGATGGCTCATCTTTCCAAAGGCAGGCTGGAGCATCTAGTACCCATGAAGAAGCACATTTTTCGATTGTTTTGTGTTTCCTTTTGTTGTTTTATGTTAGCTTCCTCTAGGTGGTGGCAGAGATGGATGTAAGAGCAGACAGATATCTGGCATCAATACATGGGTGCCTGGTGACTTTGGCCTGAAGAGGAAGAAAAGACAAGTTCTTGCCTGGGGAATGGGACAAGGGTTTCCTGGGGTGGTGGGGGCGGTTCTTATTCTTCATGAACAGACTAGGGGAAAGGATTGCTGGTCCCTCTGGACCAAATGGCTTTTTCCTTGAGGAAAGACCTCATCCCAACAAGGAGAGAATTGACTGCTCCCTTGAGGCGGCCTCCCCTTCATTCCTGCATGTGGAAAAACTAGTTGGACCTACAGTGTCTGCTGTTGCAGCCCAGGTCCCTGGGTCCTTGCCCCCCTGCCTTGCTCCCCATGCCCCAGTGGGAATGAGTGGTGCATTTCCAGTTGTTTGATATTTGGGGTGTCTTAGTAAACTTAGGGAGTAAATGTGTTGTAGCTGCTTTAGTGGGGAAGAAATAGCCATTGTGGAGGATTTAGGTTCACACGCTCCCCATGCCCTACCTGTGGGCATCAAAGTCAGAGTAGGTTCCAGCAAGGGTGACAGTTCCCAAATCCAATGCCCCTTGCTGCGGCAGCCTGGAGCATTATGTTGAACTGAGTGCAAACCCCATGGGGTAAACCTGGAGCTCGATTAGCAATGTCTGCCGTGGGTGGTGGGTTGGAGGATGGGGAGTCGGCCATGTATTTGCTGTCCCTGGTCTGTGGAGTGAAGTTGAGTAGAGTGCTCTTCACACGTGCTTTATCCTTAGGACAGTGCCTGAGGAAGAGCCAGCAGTAAAGGATGAATCCTCTTTAGGACATGGTGACTGAGGGTGTCCCTTTATCAATTTGAGGGCCTCCGGGGGCCCTCACTGCCATTGGCCCTCACCCCCATCCAAGGCTGGAGCGCTGGCCTCAGTCGGGAGCACAGCCTGGGTCTGTGTCAACCCTGTCGCTTGCTGGGATCTGATAAGGGCAGGTTCCAGAATCTCTCCCCTGCTTGGGGCATGGTGGGGGCTCAGGAGAAGCAGCTGGAGGGCATCGCCCTAAGGCGTGGCCTTGTGCACCACCCTTCGGCACAGGGACCCTAAGAAGTCCTCTGAGCTCTGGCATGCTGTGGATAAAGAAGCAACAAGAGCGCTTAGGCATGCCAGTTTCAGGATGTCCAGAATCCACAGGTTGATCACAGGATAGGGTGGGGATGCTCAGGGGCCCTGCCTCCCAGCACTCACAGTCTCCTAGTGGAGAGGCAGCTGGCAGCGACTGCCAAGGGGTGGAGACAGGAGTGGAACCCAGGCCCCAGAACCCAAGAAGGAACAGTCAGTCCCCTGTGGAAGCATCATTGGTGGCTTTAAGAAGGGCCCCAGAGAGACCATAGCGGGGACAGTCTTGAGCTGGCCCAGAGGGATACGTAGGCTTGCAGCCCCCAAGGCTGGTGTGGCCTCTGCCTGAGCTCAGGGTTTCTCTGCTGTCTCGTGTGCTTGTGTTTCAGCACTTCTAAAAGCAAGGAGCTTTCTCCAGGCTCTGGGCAGAAAGGAAGTCCAGGTTCCAGCCAAGGGGCACCATGTGCAGGGGTGCAGCTAGGGGCACAACCGGGCACCAGCCCCAGCCAGCCGCCTACAGACCAGAGCCCTCACACCCTCCGGAAAGGTATGCCTCCGCCACCACCACCCCCAACCCACCTTCCACATTGGTCTCAGGATGGGGATAGCTGTTACATTGCTGAAAACTCATTTCTCTCAATTAGCATGGATATTTAGAAAATGCAGGGCTTAGTGAGAAAATGCCTGGCTGGGCATTAGAGCTTTTGCAAGTTAACCATCTCCAAGAGGGATCACTTCATCATGATCCCTTGGTTTATTCATTTGAACAGCAGGCCCTTTGGGGGCATATATAGGGCATTGCTTCCTATAGACCAAGACCTCTGTGCACAGATCATTGCCCAGGATGACGTGTGTCTTTCCCGGACACTGCTGGGCCCACTACCATCCTTTAAGATGCTGTGTGAACTCTTCGGCAGGAGCCCCCCAACCAGGGGGTGCAGAAGGTGCATTGCAGAAGGTGACACAGGATTGTTTCTATAGGAGTCCTGACCTTCGCTAGTTCTGTTTTGGAAGACCTGGTAGTTTCCACACTGACCACAAGCCACTCATCCTGGAATCTGCCACTGGAACACACTATAAAAGGACCAATTATTTTCCCTGAAATGACTTGCAGAAGCTAAAGACATGCTCATGGATGGGGCATTTCATAATGGTGATGTTTCATAAATAGGGAGCTGCCCAGAATGTGAATTTACCCGAACCTTGTTTGCCTTCTCCTTATGTCGACCTTTAGCCAAATCTCCAGCTTGTTTGAAATAGTGTATGGATGGATTTGGTCAGGGTTCAGGCCTCCCAGCTTGCAGGTGTGGCTACAGCCCCAGGACTTGTGTCTCAGTCCACCTTGCCACATCACTGGCCATCCCGTAGCATGATTAAGAAATGGAACAAGAAAAATCAGAGCAAGGCATTAGGGCCGGGGTGATGATGGGCTTAGAAAACGCAGTAGATCTGCACATCCACATCCAGAGGGTGTGACTGTCTGTCGAAAGAGAAACACCTGGGAGGCAAGGGCTCAGGACTGGGGGAGGAACAGACAGAGCCTGGAGACACTGGGCGTTTGTGGCCGGGGACTTGGTCGTACGTGACTGTGCTGGACTCCAGAGCCTCCAGGCAGGTTCAGCCAAAAGCCAGGTTGGCCGTCCTGAGACGCATGTACCCCTGGTTCACGCCATGTGTGGGGCAGTCAGTGTCCTCTCTTAGAATCCGTGTTGCTGGCTCGCCCCTCCTCAGAGCGTCTGCAGATGCCTTACGGCTCTCCAGGGCTGAGGAACCTGGGATCAGCTGCTGCCTGTGGGTGGGACACCCAGTTTGGCTGGGGTGGAGGGGTATAGATCAGGCAGGAATCCAGAGAAAAGGGGAGAAATTAGTGAACAGATGGAAGATAGAAACACTCACAGTTCTAGGTGGATTTTTAAAATGTGTATTGGCTGCTCTCCAGGTGCCAAGAACACCCGGAGAGGTACTGGGGTGTGGGGTAGGAGAGGTACTGAAGGGTGTGCCTACAGGCCGCACAGACCATGGGCTTCCTTTAACTCCCTTGTGTGCTGTGTTGTGTTTTATCTTTCAGTCTCCAAGAAGCTGGCACCAATACCCCCCAAGGTCCCCTTCGGCCAGCCGGGGCCTCTGACTGAGCAGTCCGCTGGCCAGCCGTCCCCACTCAGCCTGTCTCCTACCCCACCGAGCACCCCTTCGCCCTACGGACTGGGTTACCCCCAGGGGCACTCCGTGGCCTCAGGCCAGCTCTCCCCAGCTGCTGCAGCTCCCCCACTGGCCTCTCCTTCAGCCTTCACAAGCACTTTAAGCAAATCACGGCCCACCCCTAAGCCCCGGCAGAGGCCCAGCCTGCCGCCACCTCAGCCTCCCACAGTCAGCCTCTCGGCCTCCAGTCCGCAGTCCACGGAGCACCCTGTGCTGGATGGCATGTCCCCTGGGGAAAGCATGTCCACAGGTAACCAAGCCACGGCTCCCTCAGGGCTTTCCACAGACAGGAGCAAAGTGTGCCAAGTCGGGGGCTGCTAGTGCCCCTGGCAGTGAACAAAGCCCCATGTGCCATGGGCTGGCTGCACTGGTACCATGCATAGTGGCCCAGATGGGCTCCCCAGGAGCCCCTCATGGGGCCACTGGGCAGTAGCCCCAGAGGCCAGGCTGTCCTGCAGAGGCGCTTCTTAGATTTCACCCAGCTGGACGCCCACCAGCCTAGGGTCCCAGTCCTGCTCCAAACCTGGGGCTAGTGTGCCCTGTCCGCCTGCACGGTGCTCCAGAGAGGCTGGGAGCCAGATGATGGTCACAGAACAGCTGGCCTCAAAACACAGGTGAGGTGTTTGGGGCTCCCTTGGACAGAGCTCAAGCACCCAAACAGGTACAAACCTTATCTTGAGAGCAGAGGCTAGGAACCAAAGTCATTTTTTCCCTATGAATAAAATATGCCTTATTAAAAAAATGTATTTCTAGCAATATATATTTATAGAAGGGTCAGTTTCAGGAAAACCACTGGTCAGGTTCTTTGAGGAGCTAATTGGACAAGGCCACAACTACTACATTTAGCTTTGCTTTCGATTTAAACTCAAACATGGAGCTATTTTCCTCCAGAGAAGTGGTTAAGCATGCAATCACAGACCTATACATTTAGAAAAAAATACTTGTTAGTTGGAAAAAGAGTACATTTTTTAAACGTCTCCCCAGACACTTCGACCACATAAGATTAGAGACTTAGGGCATGTCTGTGGTGACCACTGAAGTGCCTGTAAGCTTTATCCTAGTTCAGCAAGGCAGGCAGAGCTGAGCTGGGTCTTGGAATAGAGCCAACCCACCATTTCTCAGGGCGGCAGGGCCTGCGCACATCTGCTGAGATTTGTCCCAAGTAGCAGAAGGTGAGGTGGCTTGGGATGGATCACACACACCACACAGAGACACGTGCGTACTAGACATATACCACCCACACCTCACACTGCAGATACACGCACACACAAATACACATCATGTACACATCCCCTGTATGTCACACCACACACATACACACACACACACACACACACAGGTGTACAGTGAAGTCCTAAGTCCCAGAGACACTGAGACCTCTCACAAGAATTGTGCTTTGATCCCCATGTTCCCCAAGGCTAATGTCCATTTCTTGTGGTTGCGGGATGGGGGCTGGTGAGCCCAGGGGTCTGCTCCTTGCCATCTATGAAAAGGTTAGTCCAATGCAGTGTTTGTGAAGGGTCAGGAGATTTAAATATTGTGGGGAGCAACTGTCTGGCAATTTGGCTGCTTTACTTTTGGATGTGATTAGTGATGAAGGTACAGCTGCTTTCATCTGCCCCGAGGCTTATAAAAAATCAAGGAAATTCCTCCTTGAAAATCAGTGGGCACTGCCTCCCGCTGGCTGCTCTGGGTGGTAATGTGCATTTCCTGAATGAGCCCTTGATGGGAGGCAGCAGCGCCCTACTGCGCTCGGGGCTCATGGTCACACCCCAGGACTTTGTCCCCCAAATCGAGGGGCTGCTCCTCCCAACACACTCCAACATCTAGCCACCCCAGGGTAGCAGTGCTACAGGAAGCTGCACAGTGAGCCGAGGACATCTTGAAGGCAAAACAGCAACACAAAGAGGAGAGATTAGGGACAAAAAGGGGGCACAGACAGCACTGGGGGGCAGTGCCCATGAGTGGGTGAGAAGCGTGATGACCCACTTTCCCTGAGCAGGTTAGGAGCTGCTGACCTGGAATTAGTAACGGGCCCTGTGCCCCATTCTGTTCAGTGTTCTGTGGCATGTTGGTCTGTCCGTCTGTGCAGGTCTCTGAGCCAGTGTAGGATCTGTGACTTGGTGTGGCTCCTGACTGTGACACTTGGCATAGTTCTACGATGTTGTTTCCTCATGTTTATTCCTTTCTCCAAATCCTGTCCTTGTGTTCTTGCAGCCGTGTGACATGAGTGACACAGTTTGGATACATGTGAGGGGGCTTCAGGGTAAGCAGCCCCAGCCGGGCCTCCCCTTCTCTTGCCCTGGCCGGCCGGCCACACCTCTGCTCTGCCCTGCATGTGGCTCAGATAACCGCATGGCCGCTTCCCTCCCACGGCCTCCCCAGCCTCAGCAGGAGGCACCTGTCCATGAGCTCATGCAGCTTCTAGGGCTCACTGGCCTTTGTTCTTTCTTTTCATTAGGCTATGGAGAGAAAGCAGACAGGCCTAGGTCACCTCTCACCTTCTCTGTCCCCTGATTCACCTGATCTCAGCCCCTCTCTCCCTCTCCCTCTGGTTTAGCATTGAAGGGGTAGCAGATCTGTTCCTCAGGACAGACCTTTGTGTCACTGGGTTGCGCAGTGTCCTGGGGCAAACCTGCCATGTACACCAGTGCTAGGGAGGCGTCCCCCATGGGAAAGCCCTCCCCCACAGCGCCCAGTCCACCACATGGCCTGCAGCCTGGGCTTGGGAGCCGTGATCTCCCCGTACAGACGTAAATTCTGACCTGTCCTGGGGACTGAGACAACTGGAAGATTCCAGAGAATCCACAGTATTAAATCCATCCCAAGCTTATTTTTTTCCCAGTATGTATGGCTAGCCAGATCCCTCTGTCCAATTCAATAAAATATCTTGGGAGCGTTTATACCAGTTTCTGTCCTGTCTCCTCCCCCTACAAAGAGTAGGTGTTAAAAGTGAAACCGAGGCAAGAATGTAAAAAGCCAGGGTGAATCAGGTGTTTCACTTCAATAAAAAACGGGGATCCAGAGTAAGCCAGGGGCTTACTCCTCCCCCATACCTCGGCCCCCAGTGCCCCTGAACACCACTGAGCCTGAGGCCCTGCTGAGACCTGTGGCAGGCAGGGCACGATGGTGCCTGCAGACAGCTCTCAGACAGGTGCTTCTGGAGCCGCCTCTGAGAAACCAGCTTCTCTCCCCCTGGTAGCGTCAGTGGGGACACCACGCCCTAAATCCTGCTCCCTGGTGGCAGGACCTGCCCCCCCACCCCCTCAGGGTCTGTCTAAGGGAAAACCAGGGCAAACAGCTGAGTGGCTCATCCCGAGTGCCTGTTCTGGGCTGGGCATGCTCCAAACACTCGGTGCTGTTGTGGTCAGACCCGTCCTTGCACTTGGTTATTCCCGTTTGGCTGCTGGGACACAGGGAAGTAAGAAACCTTGTCCAGGATAACACTCCCACCAGTGACAGGGATTCTGAGCCCAGGCTGCATGCAGGGCCTGTGCCTTACCCGCAGGGCAGGGGTCCCTGCAGTGAGGGCAGGGCACAGGCGAGCCCCGAGCCCACACTTGTCCTCAGCTCCGGGAGCAAGTGGCACAGGTGGGGCTGAGCCTCAGACCCCTGTGCTCTGCTCCATCTGCAGCAGAGGGCAGGCAGGTTCCAATGACATTCTGTTCTGGGGACAGGGTGAGGGAGAAGGGCCTTCCTTGAACGTCTGTGTTTGTCTGATGTCATTTAAGATGGTGTCCAAATGTCTGTCTGTCCACTTGGTGTGGTAGGCCTCAGGCTGAGTGTTCCACAAAACGGTAACAGCCGCCGTCCAGTGCCCAGGCAGCCCCCTTGTAGGTGCACTTTCTGTCCCCCGGTGTGCTGCACTGGGCCCGGGTCAACAGCCTGGCAAAGCGAAGGCCAGAAACAAATGGGTCGAGGGGTTAGAACACGATGGCATTCATATTTGCGGCTCCGTCGTGTTGTTAGCCTGGTGCAGGCCCCCAGGAGTCAGCAGGCTCAGCCTCCCAGCGTGGCTGCAGCCATAGCCCCACCACCACTGTGGACCTTAAACTCAGCTGCTGGCTCTCGACTTTGCTGACTCACAGATGGCCTGAATGCCAGATGCTGAGCCATCACCTTAGGTGCAGTTCCTGACCACCTGCCAGAATGACCTTCTAGTGTCCCCAGCAAGGGCGCTACTCAGGTGAGGTCTTAGTGCTGAGGTGGGCAGTTTGCAGGGAGCAGTGCGCCCCAGCCTCACCAGGGTCCTGAGGGACAGACACCCTCTGCCTTGCAGCCCCCAGCCCGCTGAAATGCACTGTCTTCAGGTCTTAGGGTGAGGGCACTGTCTCAGGATCCCCTCGTTCACTCATGGACTCAGGAGAGTGGGGTGCTTCTACACTGCCTCATACTCTGTCAACTTTAGGGAACTGAAAGCAGCCTTGAAATCCCACCCCCAGCCCAAAAGTTGTCACTGAGCCCCGGCCAGAAAGCTTTCTTACTGAGACTCAAGCTAGGGGTGTATGACGGCCGGCCACGGGGCTTTTCTGGTGGTCTGGGCAGAATCCGGACTCCGGGCCCACAGCTTATGAGGTAGCGCAAAGTGGCCGCACCTATCCTGAGCCTGCAGTAAATGCCCGACCGGCCCCCGCGTGAGCTAGCTCTCCAGTGACCAGTCCACTGCTTCCTAATGCTGTCTGCTTGCCATCAGCGTGTCCTGAGCCAGAAGCCCCTTTTCAGCCACTTCTCTCTCTGCCGACTTCCAGATCTTGTCCACTTTGACATCCCCTCCATCCACGTAGAGCTCGGGTCGGCGCTCCGCTTGGGTCCCCTGGAGCACCCGCGGCGGCCCTCGGTGACTGACAAGAGGGACTCGGAGGAGGAGTCTGAGAGCACCGCCCTCTGACGGGGCGCCCCGCCCCTGCCCCGCCTGTGCGCACCTGGGCCTACCGAGCCGGCTGCGTTGGCTCTTTGCTGTCACTGCCGACGCCAGCTTGGAGCTTTGCAGAAAACTCTCGTTTCCGGCCCGTGTGGCAAATGGTGGTGGTGCGGATTTTGTTTGTTCCCTTCAGGTGGTGACTTTGGCCTTTTGTTTATCTTTGCCTTTTGACTTTGTGCCTATTTTGATCCACTCTCAGCCTCCATGCCAAGAAACACCCTTCTCCACCCAAAGGCCTGCCCATCAGAATGTTCTTTGCAGTGGGGGGTGTAAAGGGCAGCCACGTGTACTCTGATGGCAAGTTAATGGCTACAGGACGGAAACAGGAGCACAGGGCACCCCTTCACTCACAGCGGACTGGGTCTGGAATGTAGAAGTCCTGGGCACTGACTTCTCCCTGCTGTACAAGGAGGGGCCAGCCAGGGTACACACCTTGAAGGCCACCCTCATTCCATGGGCTCCAAAGTAAATCACTTAAAATAAACTTTCACTTCCTAACAAATTTTCCCCCACATTGTCTGTGACTACCTTACCATTTTATACTTTTCTGAATTTAAAAAATGATCTTGAGGGTGTCTAAAGGGCCCAAGGATAGCTCCTCACACTCCCCACCAAAAACATCAGATGTTTGAGATGATTCCATGGACCCCCAGGAGCCTGCCCCTTCTTTTCAGAGGTCACAGTGAATAGCAATAAATGTTACCCAAAGCACGTAGGGGAAGCGAGCAGTCCACGGAGACAGGCCAGCCCTTTTGCCCCGCGGTGTGGTGTGCCTGCTCACCAGCATCAGCGGCCGATTTTTCCTCCTGGAGTCCCATCTGATCTAGGGAGGAGGGCCAGGGGGCCCTGGGGAGCCTAGTCACACATTGGGGTTAAGGGAGCAAGAAGCAGATCCAGTTATGCATGCACGGTCAAACTTTACAATTTTATCCTTTTAACATACGATAAACCTATACAGGATATAATATTTGTACATATGAAATCTCTATATTTGTTTGATTTGAGTCATTCAATCTAAACCAATGTATAGGTGTACAATGAGAAATTTAAATGCTTAGTTATTTTCCCAACAATGTAAAATAACCCTTCTCTGACAGCAGGATTTGCAAACTTTTGATGTTAACAGCTTTGCTCACTTCTTGGCAAGGGCGGTTCAGTACCCAATTTGCCCAGGGGTTGAAAGCTACCTTTAAATACATGTACAAATAGTTGTCAAAAGTAATGTTATTAAAATAGATTTATTATCCCTCAGTGTGGCCTATCATCTGTTTTAATAAATCTGGGCAGACACAGGAATTGTGTCAGGTGCTAGCTCAGGAGAAAACCTGCAGCCACAGGCAAGCCAAGTAAGTCCTTGGCCTGTATCTCTCTCATCACCTGTTTTTAAAGCTCTTTCTGCATTTTCTTGGGTGGGAAGAACACACGAATCAATGCTGGATTCATCTTGGAAAAGTCTCAACAACAAACCTTGGTGTTGTTAAATCCCCCAAAGAGGAGTTGGGAGCCAGCCTGATGTGACATTTCTCAATACTTGGAAGGGCAGAGGGTCTCATTCTTATTACAGAGAAAGAAGGAACAGATCTATTGTCTCCATTTGCCCCCAAAGAATGGGAAGACTTGTCTCCTGAGCCACTGTGCACCCCCAGCCTGGGCACTCCCAGTGTGTGAAGCCACTCCACTGCTGTGCTCGCACTTGACTTATGTCAAAAAACTAGGCTGTTGGGGGGTGGCAGCTCCCTGGGGACAGGCTCCAAGGACAGGGGTCCCTGCTGTTATCAGCGCTGGCTTCCAGGGCACCCGGGGTCCCTGGCAGCGAGATGCTGCCCAGAATGAAGCACAGCACTCGGGTTCCAAACAGTCTTTATTTGTTGTGTCTTTGTAAATACTATTCTTCGAATCTTGGATACTCAGACCTCACGCAACCCAGTGCCCCCAGGACATGGCTTGCCTCTGGCATGCAGAGGGGATAACTTGGCTGGAGCTGGTTTCCCTGACTCCTTTCTAGGTTGGTTTACATAGAATCCAGCTGTCTCTACCCTTTTCCATTCAGCAGCCTCTTGTCCCACAGCTCAGAGGCACCAGTTGCAGAAGGCGTCCAGCATCCCAGCCAGTCCCTGCCCAGAGCCCAGAGCCCAAGTCAAAGCTCAGCCTCATGCCTGCCTGCCCCGCAAGGCTCCCTGTGCAGTGGTGCCCTCTGGCCCCCGTCAGGCCAGGAGGGCAAACACGGTGGCCGTGGGGAGCCATGAGCCGTCCGAGTTCAGGGTCACTCCGGTCTTCACACGGCCCTCACCTTCTTGCTCTGTGGGCTCTGGGGCTCGCGGGTGGAGGCCCGTTTCTGCGGGGGCGCCCTGTCCTCAGGGCCTTCCGCGTGCTGCGTGGAGAGGAGGGCCGCCCGCACCAGCCGCAGCTCCCGCTTCCCCCTGCGCCCCTCCATCTCCTCAATGTCGCCGGCGAACAGGGCTTTCAGGGGGGCGGTGAGCTTGGGCACCGTGGGGAAGTCTGCGAGGCGGACCTGCAAGGCAGGACGGGACAAGGATATGGCTCAGTGGGGAGCTTCCTCACAAACTAGCCAAGCATAGCTGCAAAAAGAAAAATAGGAGAAATAAAAATGCCACAGGGCAGGGAAGAAGACCTCCAAAGAAGGGGACAGAGGCTCCCACTCCTGGCTGAGGGCAGCAAAGCTGACCAGCCTCGGGAAAGGGAAGGCCGTCCAGACTGAACCAGGCTTCTTGGAAGCTGACCCTAGCTCGTGCCCTCATTCCAGAAGGCCAGAGGGGCCCAAGGCCCGGCCTCACCATCGGGAGAGGAGGGAACACCCCTGGGCCCCAGGCCTGTGTGAGGCTCAGGGGATGTGACTGTGGGGACAGACTGGGCCTCAGCGAGCCTCTGGGTCATTTCCAGCGACTGAGGCTGACGTGTCTGCAAAGCCCTGCGGAGGGTCAGTCCCACCATCAGCCCCGGGCTGTTTGTGTGGGAGACGGAAGATGCCTTCCCCCCACCCGGCGGCCCAGCACCCAACCACCCTGTGTGCAGGGAGTGCGCATCTGACCTGGCCCCCTGCACGCGGCCCACACACCTTCATGTGGTCGAAGGCAATTCCAACTTTCTCATTGAAGTCGGGGCTGAAGAGGGGGATCTTGGCATAGCGCTGACTGAAGTGGTTCAGCATGATGAAGTCCGCGTTCATCTGCATCCCCACCCCGATGGCCTGGGAGGTAGTGCTGCCAAAGAGGAGCACAGTAAGGCTGCAGCCCAGGAGGACAGGACTTCACTAGGCTGGCAGACCAGACCCGACTGCTCAGCACCCAGGCCGGGCTGGCAGGTTTCCTGATGCAGCACCTCCTAAGGGCCAGGTTCTTCACCTGCTCCGTGATGGCTGTCCGCCCATTAGTGAGGGCATCTGGGGAAGAGCAGAGGCCTTCTTACCTGGGGTGACACACTCTTTCATCACGGTGGCAGCCCAATACCCAGTCCCCAGGCCCTCACTTCCCCTGGTGAGTCCCTGATACAGCTTACAGTTTATCCCACTGTTATTTCTGATTCTCTCAAAAACCCTGTCTCTCCCCTAGAACCTTGCCAAGAGATTTCTACAGAAATGAAGACAGAAGGCCCAGGAGAGAACTTCCTGGGCTCCGGAAGCCCCTGCAGCCCTCTGGTGGGAAGCAGGTTAGCCTATGTCACTGGAGGGCAGTCTTCCTGCAAGGCTGTCCAGATGGTCACCAGCAGGGAGGGCGGAGGGGGCGCTGATGAGGGCTCAGCTGGCTCGGCTACCTGTGGGTCTTTTCCACAGCTTCCTCTTCCAGGCCATCTTCCAAGGTGGCCTCGTGTATTAGGAGGGTGGCATCTTTCCCTAAAGCATAAGCACAGATGCTGGAGTGGGGTCCTGTACCAGGGAAGCACTTGGCCCAGGGTTTCTGGACCCAAACACTTGCTCCCCTGGCCCTGTGGCTTGTCTGCATGTTAGGACGCCAGAGGTTATCAGGTAGCACCCGTCAGCTGCCTCCACTCACCCATCTGGACCAGAGCCTCGCAGGGCATGGTGTCCCCCGAATAGACGACTTTCCAGCCAGACTTGTGAAGCAGTGCGCAGCCGAAGGCATGCTTGCAGTGCCGGACCAGGCAGGTCTGAAACTAAGGAGCAGGCGATGGCCTCTGCAGCCGCACTCCCCGCCGCACCCTACCACATCAGCAGCACCCCCTTTACCTCTTCCAGTTCACATTTTCCCAAGAGTGAACTAATCAACCTCTCAATCTTGGAGCTAGAGACCTCAGCTCCTTTCCGAAGGCACTTGGCAGGAATCATACTGAGGGAAAATAAAACATTTCAAAAAACAAACTTTAAGTGACACTCAACTTGACTCAAAATTCAAAAGTCTCTGGCTAGAGAGCCCCAAAAACCATTATTATAAAGCAATTTAAAGCAATCACCAAGCCAGGGAAAGCACAGTCATTAAAGACAGCCAGCCCCAAGCCCCCACTGTCTCCAGAGACCTAAAGGGTGCATGCTGCCCACGGCTAGGGCAGCCACAGCCCCCCAGGGTGCCAGGCCAGACTCCAGGCCTGATGGGGTGGGGGGCCAACTCCCACCATTCCTCTGCTTGGTGCAGGCAGTCTCTGGGTCAGTCACTATTCAGATGTCTGGCCTGGGTACTTCTGCAGAGGAGTATTAGCAAAAAATCTAAAAATTACAACAGCACTGAAAAGAGAGTTGAGGAGAAATGCATCAAAGGAGAACAGACATTGAAGAGGGAACCATCTAATGGCTCCTGCCCCTGCGTCAAATCCTTTCTCCCCTGCCCTGCCACCTGCAGCCCAGTCAAGGGAAAGGTTGTGCGGACAAGTTAACAGCCTCCATGTCGGCTTGAGCCTGTGAGGGAGGCAGCGGAGACTCCAGCCCCCGTGCTCAGGGCGCCGGGCGCTCACCTGATGTGATGTAAAACCGGCTGGCACTGGTTGTGGTACTGCTGGAGCCAGGCCAGGAGCTGGGTGGGGGCGACCACCAGCAGAGGGTGAAACGGCTTCCCCAGCGATGCCTGAAACCTCGAAAGCAGAGGCCAATCAGTGACGGGATGTCTCACCAGTCCGGAGAGGCAGGAGACAGAGCTGCGCACGTGTAGCCCCAAGACACTCAATGGCCGAGAACTCAGGGGCCGCACTCACCAAAGCCCGTTCTCTCTGCAGCAGGATGTTCAGCAAGCCCTGGGGAAGGAGGCAGTAGGTGAGCCACACCCCAGTGGGGCCCTCTTCCTTCCCCGGGTTGGATTCCAGACTCCTTATCTTGCAGGGGCACCCCGCCAGTCACCATCCCCCAAGGGGTCCCCCGTGAGCAGGCCATGTGAGGAGGCCAGACTCAAGACAAGCTGGGGCAAGGCAAGTCCCCCACTGCTGCGTGACAGGGAGGCAGAGAGAAAGATAAGATGCTTTTCTGAGCAGAATGACCACAGTGGGGTTTTGTAAAAGACCAGTGCCTAGTGTGAGACAAGAAACCAAGGCTGTGGGCAAGCTGGGGATCAGAGGACAGGAGAGCAGCCGGGCAGCTGGGTGACCAACCAGCACCTGCTCTCCAGGCCGGAGCTCCGAGGACCTGCCCGATACCCACCGTGTGGTGATCCGCATGCAAGTGGGACACAAACACAGCAGCGAGGGTGCCCAGGACCCTGTCCACCTCTTCGCCATAGTGACGACACAGCTGCCCGAATGTGCCTTCACCACAGTCCAGCAGCAGGGACTTGTCGGAGCTACAGAGAAGAGTGAGAGACTCACCACGGGCAGGAGCATCAGCACTTCAGAGGACTTTTATTTCAGAGAGGAGCAGGAAGCAGCCGTGGCACTTTCTGCGCTTTTCCAACACCTGTCTCTTTGAGGAGCTTATACGAAAACAAAGGGAGCTGCAGGGACATCCAATATAGAATTATCCATGGAACTCTGAAGATGTCCTTTAAGATGTGTACAAAGTATAGAGAGCTGCACAAATGCCAGGCACCCAAAGAAAGCAGCCTGTGGCACGCAAGGGCAAGCGCTTTAGCCTAGTGACGCAGCTCAGGTCAGCCTGTACTGGCAGCACCCGGTGTGGATCTACCAGAACCAGCACAGGGCACACAGGAGGCCTGGCTACCACAGGGCATTCCCCGCTTGGCAGGCGGTTCTGGTTTTCTCAGCCAGGTTCCTGGCGGCTGCATGGGCTCCTCTAGGGCAGGTTCCTCTCAGGGTCTTTGCCCCACCCTGAGCCGTGTGTCCCACAGGCCTTTTACCTTCTGGGAGGGGCTCTGAGGCTAGAAGCAGACCAGTGAAGGCACCCTCAGATCAACTGCAGGGGCTCGAGGGGCCTCTCAGCGATCAGGAGAAGCCCCTTCACCAAGCGTCTCAGCCCTGTGGGGAGGCCAGCCCACGGGTGCCAGTTAGCTGCACTTCCTCAATTATAAGGGACTGATGGCCCGGATTCATGTATTTCTGATATCAGGGTACAACTTATAATTGACGTGTACATTTAATGCTTCCTTGGTGTTTATCATTCACCACTAGAATCTAAGATGACAGAGGATAATTTTTTTTTCTCTTACTTTTTATTATTTTTATTTTTTTATTAAGGTATTATTGATATTCACTCTAATGAAAGTTTCACATGAAGAAACAATGTGGTTACTACATTCAACCATATTATCAAGTCCCCACCTATACAACAGGGCATAATTTAAAGCGAATCTGGTACTTGACAGTCTGAGTTCCTTCACATGCACCTGTCTGCAGAAACACCATGAACATGTCACAGTGGCCTTGATTAATCTCTCTACAGACAAAGGACACCAGGCAAACCCAAGAGAATCAACTAAAAATCACCCAATCAGGCTAAACGTAAATGCTCAAACCCAGAAGCTATTTCCAAGCAGAAGTAACTAGTTAGGGGGAAAATGCAACATAGCAACAAAGACACCCATTCACATTATGGGTCTGCCACTTGCCGGCTGTGGGAACTACAGCTGAGAACCCTCTCTGAATATCAACTTGCTGATCAGTAAATGGGTGGTCAGCCACTGCTCCGTAGAATTCAGGTGAAAACTAAGTTTGAAAAGTTCTTAGCTGGTGCATGGCATACAGTAGCATCAGCTATCAAAAGACACCCTGGGCGAGGGTATGCTTGGTGATTTCAGAAGCATAAACTGGGTGCTTAGGCTCCTCTTCTGGGGTACACTAGCCAAGGTGACAGCCCACAGGGTTTGACACTCTTGGGCTTTCCAATTAGGCTGGTGGGTGGAGCAGGGCTTTGCACAGAAAACTGGCATGTGCCTTCACGAAAGCTCTAGTACCTTATGTTGACAAGTGTGGAGCTCACATTCCGAATCTTCATTGGGATGGCAGACCCTGTTCCAAGGAAGACGATCTCCGGGTACTCACTTCTTCTCTCTATGGAAGAACACACATCGGAGTCTACTTCTTCAGGTGAAAACTGAGCTGGCGTTCAGCCATGAGATGAGTTAAATCCAGCTGCTCAGGAGGGGCTGGCGATCTGACCTGGCAACTGCCCTTATGTGAGGGCCCCTCCTCTGAGGGGCGCCATAGGCTGTTTGTGGGTAAAGGGCTCCTAGGACGGAGAGCAAGGGAACTCCACAGGCCTCTTTCAAGAGAATCACTCTCAGTTTTAAATAACAGAGGGGACTAATTTGTGCTATGAACCATTACCTCAAGGGGCTGGGGTCCCCCTTGCATCTAGCCCTTAGCACCGGCCCCCACTTCCTGTGTGTGCTCACAACGACCCTGCCTGGTGGGAAACACCCTGCCTTCCAGAGGACAAAACAGGCCCGGAGGGTCAGGCTCCCCAGAGAGAAAAAGACTCAAATCCGGGGAGGCCTGACGATTCTGAAGCCTGGGCCCCTTCTTTGGCCTCACCCAGCCTGACAGGCTCCATGTGCACTTCACAAGTATGATCTACATGGGTCATTAAGGCACAAACCAGAAATCCAATCACTGCCCTGAGCGCAAGCAGGGATGCCAGGGTCATTCTTCTCCGAACACATGCGGGAAGGCTGCTGCATGAAGACGTGAGGTTTTACCCTTGCCTGGGCTGGCTTCCATGGAGAAAATGAAGTTGGGTGAAAGATCATATTGTAAACAAGTGACTAAGTGGCATCTCAGCCTTCACAGTGTCTTTGTCTGCTCTGCTGCCTTAATCTTTGGGTCCAGAAACTTCTGCCCGGCCCTGCAGCCCTGCATGTAGGCTTGCTCATCATCAAAAGGATTTTGCTCATGACTTAAGATTGATGCAACAAGACCCTTAATCACCTCCCCCGAGGAGATAAAGAAGTACGTACAGAAAGGACAAATGGATTGTCAGGGACTTACAGGAACATCGTGGCCAGACCCATATCAACAAAATGACTGGAGCCAGCTAACTGAGGACAAGGAGTGTCACCACCCTCCTCGGACCCTTGCTGATGTCCACACATCTGCATTCAGCAGTTACCTCCCAACCTCAACCCTCTCCTGCTCCCCCTTCCCTAATATAAAAGAAGCTTGAAGTGAATCCTCAGGTAGGATGGTTCCTTAGGACATTAGTGCTCCATCTTCTTGGCCTGCTGGCTTTCCGAATGAAGTCGCTTCCCTTGCCCCAACACCTTGTATCTTAACTTAGTGGCATGTCATACAGTGAGTGGCACGAGCTTAGATTTGGTAAAAATATGGCTGGACAAAACCCCCAAATCTGCCTCCTATTCCAGTGTTCTCGGTTTCTATCAACAGGTGAAACTGACACTAGAAGAGCCAGCTGTAGGAGCAGAGGCACAGTCCCCTGAGCACGGCTCCTGAGGGGCCACTGAAGCCCAGCAAGGCAGGCGTTGTGGCCAAAGTCCTTCAGGGATCCTTATGAGTGAAGCCACAACTAGGTTCCAAGGCAGCGAGTCCCACAGGTGTTCCCAGAAGCGCCACCCTCAGCCTGTGCCTTGTAAAAGACGCCTGCATGCTGTCACCAAGCATTCCAGCTTGATTGGTCTGGAGGGTGCGGCAGGCCCTGGTGTTTACAGAGTACAGAGGTGGGACTGCATGAAGAAACCTGGTGACTGGCCAAGCTGACACAACTTAGTGCTAAGAACGTACCTGCAGGCAGGTAGAGGCCAGGAGAGAGGCCGGCCCAGGGGCTCTAGCTCACCTGCTGGGGCCAGGTCATCGTGCACGGTCTTCTGGTACTCCTGCACACTCTCCTGGAAATTGGGGAGCTCCAGGGCCTCGGCTATGAACTCATCAGAATTGCAAGTAGTAACAGAATCCCTGCAGGGAGAAAAGCATCTCAGGTCATCACAGGGGTGTGTGGCCTCAGGCAGATACTGATTTGAATATCCAGAATCAATGCACAGAGACACTCTGCAGACAGTTCTTTCAAATCAAGATCGAAGGCTAAGCCATGAAGATCCTGGCAGCTCTGTCCTGCCTCATGGAAACTTTCTCAGCTGGGTGGTGGTCTCAGAGTGAGTTCTCGATAGCTTTAGCTGCTCACCTCTTCCAGCTCAAAGCCCGACAGACAACCCTGGTATTACAGACATTTGGAGCAGGGTTGGGGGACAGGACCCATGTAGCATCCTGACTTCTACACACTAGACACCACCTTCAGCCCAGTTTTAACAACTAAAAATATCTCCAAATGTCACCAAATGTCCCCTGAGAGCTGGAGGAAGCAAGGGGAGGCAAAACTGCCCCAGCTGACAGGCACGGCCCAAGAGCAGTGGCTCTCACACCAACCTACACACGGGATCCCCTGAGAACTGTGGACTGCAGGGCCTGATTTGCTGGCTCTGGGGTGCAGGCTGAGACTGCATTTCTAGCAAGCCCCCAGATAATGCAATGTTGCTGGTCCTGACGACCCTGAGCAGAAGTCCTGGGAGCAGCTGCTCTTCAACCTGACTGAGCACCAGAATCCCCTTACGGCAGCCTGGGAAGTGAGCTCCAGCCTAACTCACAAGATTCTAGCACAGCAGTCTGGGAACTGTATTTTTCATAGGTACAAGGTGAATCTGGGTATCAGCTGGGTTTGTTGATAACAGCTTTATGGACAGCCAGTGCAGACGCTGACAAAGGACAAGAGGCTCTTCACCTGAGCCAGCATCAGGGCCCAAGCCAGTCTCTCACAAGCCCCACCACAGGGCATCCAGGAACAATCTGGCCCATGGCCTAGGCTAATACAGACACTATGGCAGGGATGGGAAACTCCAAATTCTTTAACATTTGAACTGTAAAAATTACAGAAGTGGGGTAGCAAGCATTTTTCCCATTATAGGTTGGCATGTAAACTGGCAGTCTTGCTGGGTGGTAAGCTAAATTTGTTAAATGCATTAAGAAGTGTCATGCTCTGACCTCATAATCTCATGTCTAAAAACTAACCTAAACAAACAGAGTTCCACTCAAAAACTTGTAAGACATTTAATGTCTTATTACAACAGCAAAATATTGGAAGTGTGTAAAATGAACAAACATCCCTATCAGGAATATCAGTAAAAGTCTTGCTACGGAAGACTACATAATGAAACAGGAAAAGGCTGGCAACAGGTCAGGCCACAGCCCCCAACACACATCACCTGATAAGTACAACCCCATAACCTCAAAGTCAGAAAACACAAAATGTTAACAATCAGCATCTCTTGTCACGGGGTGATGGGATTAGGGGTGACTGATTTTCTTCACCATACAGTTATATTCTATATTGTAAAAAAGGAACACATACCACTGTTATTAATAAAAGTTTTAGAAAAGGAGAATCATGGGCCCCGGTCTTCCCAGCTCAACCCCAGGTAAGGCCCAGGGTTGGTAGGTGAACCTGCACCAGACCATCCAGGCACATTGTTTGTTTACATGACATCTGCAGCTCTGCCGTGCTACAGTGCCAGAGCTGAGCAGTCGGGATACAGGCTTCATGGCCCTTCACAAAGACAGCGCTCAACCGCTGACCCTGCCTGGCGTGGAATGCACGCACCTTTGCCACTCCCGGCGTGGGCGCAGCTGATACTTGAGCAGACATTCGCCCCGAACGCCAGGCACAGCCGAGGAGCCTTCCTCCTGCAAGACAGAAACACACTCTGTGGAGAGAAAGAAAAGGCGCAGGGCTGGGCCAACAGGGATGAGATGCTACCTGAGGGCGGCAACTGGTAAGCAGGGGGAAGATGTCAGGGTGGATGAGGTTGAGCTGCGTTTGAATCTTGTGGCTGCGGAGGTTGTGAACGGACGTGCAATTCTCATTCAGGATCAGGTGCTGGGTGTCAGGCCCAAACCTAGGGTGAGACAGACTATGCTCACAGTGCCCATTAGGGAGCGCCTCCATCTGTGGGGTGACCCTGGGGATGAGGAGCAGCGGGCAGATGGGGATGCTCCAAGAGCACCAGTGACCTGTCCAGAAAGAGTGCTACGTGGTGGCCACATACAGCCCTACTCCTTCTGTCCCAGAGCCCAGTCTCTGTCCCAGCTCAAGTGCCTGTGGGTGTGCTGGACAGAGTACTACAAGAAACGAGAGAGGTGAAGATGTTCGGGTGCAGACAGGGATGGAGAAGGAATGGAGAGCAAACAGAGCCAGAGAGCAAGAGACTACCGGGGCTGGTGAGGAAGGAGGCGAGGGGACACCCAGGAAGCAGGAAGGGTGGCGGAAAGGCCACCCAAGTCGCTGTGCGCTCCGGGTTCACTTCAACAGTCCCTTCCAGCTGGTGCTGGCCTTGGCCAATGAAGCCAAGAGAAAGAAGTAGAGCAGCCTCTCTAAGTTCTAAATGCTGGTGGACTGCCTGCCTCTGAGGGTTGTTGAGGAGATTAGAGAAAATGAAATGCAGAATATTTAACATGCTGCCTGCTCTGTGGTGGGTGTTCAATAAACCCAAGCTACTGTTTTATACTGGCAAGTCTTGTTCAGGATACACCCGTGGAACCATCAACCTAAGGCAGCATGTGTTCAGACACGGAGTGTGGGCGCTGGGAGCCAATCACAAACCCAGCCCCACAAGCAGGCCGTGTGCACACTGTGCCACCTAGTGGTGGTACTTCCTCACACGTGTGCACCAGTGGATGCTCCCAGGACCCAGGGAGGGCAGCAATCCCAGAGAAAGTTCAGTTAGATGTGGAAGTAAGGGTAGGGGGCTCCTCAGAGCAAGGGCAGGAGAGATGGAAAGGTGCCAGGCCTAGCAGAGCTCCCTACCTCTCCATCCACTGCTGGTATCTGCCGTCCGCAAGCACGCACTCCGGGGCCATGTGGACCACCAGGGCCACGGGGGCATCAGCCTTTCCTTGGTACCTGGGTGGAAGGAGGGGTGGGGCTTTGCTTTGTAAAATGATACACATTCACGACATGCACAAATGGAGACTGTGCAGCCAGGGAGGGGCACCACGGGGCTCACGGACCCCGGCTGCTTCCAGGGGTGCCTGAACAGGCAGACCCCCAGCGCCGACCCAGGAGTCCTCTGCGCACAAGCTGCGGGCTTCCCACTGGCCCGCCTCAGCCTTTCTCAGGCCCACTGCAGACCAAGGCTCTTCCTGTCGTCTTCTTGTGCGGGGCTCAGCTCAGGCCTGCAAAGCAGGATAAAAGCTCTCCGGCCTCCCACTGCTCCCTATTTCACAGGCATCTCCTCCACAACCTCCTGCACCTCCAGTTCCAGCCTGGCATCTGCCTCCCAGTGGACCTGAGACACAGGTGTGGAAAATTAAAATCATCTATAATTCTACCATCTAGAAAGACATGTTGATATTTGCTCAAAAAAATACATACGGTAGCTGTGTTATCCATCCCCACCACACACACTGGAGTTCTTAGGAAGAACTTCTAACACTAGCTTAAAGGAGACGTAGCTGCCCAAAAAGATCTGTTATGCTAGGCAGAATAAAACAATAAGTGAAAAATGTAGATAAATAAAAATTGGGAACAGGAAAAATATAAACCATTAAGAATGGGAGAAAAATTAAAACACAGACGTGTGGGTCAGAAACTCTACCCAGGATTAAAGCTGAGCTGCAAAACCAGTGAACTGTTTCGAGCACAAGAGAGAACAGCAGAACCCGAGAGCAGCGGTATGCCCGGGGCCGAGATGCCACCTCTCCGCACACACACGGCCAAGATTGCCTCATACACTCCAGATCTACCTCATTAGGCTCGACACAGCCAAGTGAAAAAAATTCATCTAGGCACAAATAATCCAAAAACATCTGAGGTATTAACTGCAGCTCAAGAAAGTTCAAGAATCCATCCTAGACTTAGAACGCTAACTGGCCATTGCTTTCCTGGTCTGCAGTGGTCTCTGGTTTTCAAGATTTTCTAATTCCACTTGAGGGCTATGTAAACTACAGAGCCCACCAATTACCAGTAGCTTTGTCAATCCTGCCAGTGGGAGCCTGGCCTCGGCATTTCAGAGCCGGGCAGTGGACTTTCTCCGAGACAGCATGCTGCCACAGGTGACCGCAGGTCGGGCCAGATGCCCTGTTGGTGCTGGCCTGGCTTTGTGAGCACTTGGACACCCCTCCTTACCTCCTGAAGGAAGCATTCTCACAGATGGGCTGAATGAATCCTTCGTCTGGACATTCTACCACAACAAAAGCAAGCCCAGGATCTGGAGGAGTACAGATCTCTTCAGGCAAAACCTGCAAATGCATTGGGGTCACAATGTTCTCCCAGAATCACTGCTCAGCAAACCTCGGGGGCCTTCTGGTCAGCGGCTAACGTTACTTAATCCTAATTGAGCAAGCACGGGACCCACAAGAGGATCGCCACCCACTCCCTTCCTGCTCTGCTGCAGCCAGCACACAGAGGGCATTTCAAACCTACAGTGGCCAGGACACCAGGTGTGCCATTCAAGATTCTCTCAGGTCTGTGGCCACTGTTCCTAACATCCTCAGAGCTAGAGGATACATTTGGTAAAGAACATGTTGGCATTCCTTTGGGCCACGCAAACCTAAGTCCACCTTATAGGTTGTTTTGGACACTGTTCCGAGCTCAAGTGCAAGGGAAAGCGTCCATCCCATCAGGAAGGCCCCCAGATCCTAAATAGACAACCCACAGAAATACCCTAAAGCAGCCAGCATTGACATGCAGGGCAAGTCTAGACAAGAGACCCTGTTTTACTGCTTAGCCAAGGGATGGCCATCCAAGGTCTCTACTGCTCCCCCAAGTGGCGGCTGCTGGGCTGGAACAAGGCCCTGCCTGAAACATCACAGAAATGCAGTGTCTCACCTCTCGACCCTCATATGTGATGCTTTTCCCGTCCTTGACAGCAGCAATGATGGGAGCGATGGCAGCTGTCCCACTGAAATGAAGAGGCAAGCCCTGTGTAAGAGGCAGAGCTTGGGAACAAAGGCATGCCGGGGAGGCTCAACAGCAGGGCTGAACTCACACTGGGAGGCCCAGCTCCTTTGCTTTGAGAACCAAGAAGTTTCCTTTCTTCAAGTGAAGCTGCAGCAAAGAGAATGTAAATGTAACTTCAGTGACAAAAAAAAAAAGCGGATTTTAAGCTCTTTTCTCCCAAGTGCCTCTTTCTGGTTTTACTTGTTAGTTAATGTTAGTTTCTTACAAGACTTTAAAATGCAAGTTAGGTCATCGCTTGAGGTGAAGTATACTATATTCTGAGGAAGTCAGTTAGCTTGAAATGCTTTAGTACTAAAAGCAGAATGACTTAAAAGTGGAAGGCTTTATTTCCCAGTATTTAACTTGTTATAAACTTAAAATGTAATCCACTTCCCTATCAAATAAAAATACCCTTTATCCTTGAGGAGAAACACTATCCTGCTTTATCATTAGGCCCTCATCAATCAATAGCTAAAGGAATGTCACCAGCACCTTGTCCAACGAAATGATCCTGCAAATCCCCGTGTAACACAATATCGCAGTGACAGTGACAGAGTGGCAACAGTAAGGATGGTTTGCTGCATTTTCCACAGATTCAGTAGTATACTGTTCCTACTTCTACGCTGGGGAAAAGTTATAATGAAAAATTCCCAGTATGTTAGAAGGTTAAACAACAATCCTATCACAAAACCCCAAAATCATCATTTTGTACTTAAAAACTTCTGTACAAACCTTTCTGGGATTTACACATTTCATATATAATAATGGGACAAGGTCAGAAATGGCATAGAATGTTAATAACTCTTTGAGTGTTGAATTACATTTGGTTTTTCCTCTCATTTTCTTTTCTGAGATCTTTGGAAGGAAGTTACTCTTAGGGCAAAGTCTCCAATTTGGATCCTGAAGTCTTAGTAGGATGCTAGAATGTTCTCCTAGGATTACAACTCAAGGGTGTGACACAACACAAGATGACAAAGTTCAGACGGCATCTTTAGATAATGATATTAGCAAGTACTGCTGTGACCAAACATTCCTCCACAGACCCATGGACACCACGTGTTTCTAATGTTTAAAAACAATTGCAGGCCTCAGGCAGGCAAATCCTACTCCTACACTACGGGCTGATGGAGAAAACTGGGGGGACTTGCTCCTTCCTGCCTGAGGAATCCCCTCACTCCCTCACAGGCACAGCCCACTGTCTTGGGCACACTAGAGTTTAAACTAGCTCAGCTCTGCTGCCCTTCACACCGTGAGCTGAGAAGCAGCAGATTAATTAGAAGAGGGAAAAGGGGCTACAGGCTGACCCAGAGTGGCAGCAGACAGCAAGGGAGGGAGCAGAAAAGCCAGGGCAGCTGCCCGCAAGTACTTAGTGTCAGAGACTGCAGCTCCCAGTAATGGCTGCCAGGAAACAGCACAGCTGCCAGGGTTCAGAGGGTGCCCCTATCGCATGGAACACATTTCTTCATGCTCAGTGTATACGCTTAGGAAGGCAGGAAGGCTCTAATACAATTTAAAGATGACCAAGTAAATTACTTTAAAAACAACTATTTTTCTGCCTAAAACCTCAGAAACATATAATAAGCCTATATTACTTTTAATAGCTGCATGAAAATTACTATTAAAAAAATGGCAGAAATTACATTGATGATCTTTTAACTTATAACTGGTACACTACGACCTTTCATAATTTTTTTCTCTTGTTAGAATTTGGATGAAATGTACAAATGGATTTAAAAATCAATATCTAAAAGAAAACAAAAAAACGAAGTCCACAAAAAGACAAAGTCCACAAAAGACACAAAAGTGTCTACTGCAGATTATACAATTTTAATTCACAGTCCTACTAAAAATAGGCCATTAGTCAGATCTTTAAAAAATGTCTTATTGTAATAAAATTTTTGCAGAATCTGACCAACTGTAGATTTGCAGATTTAGGTCTGTGAATGCTACCCAGTATTAAATTAGGCTGATGTTAACTATAGTAAAGTGAAGGAAACTAAAACAGAGTTGAAGAAGTCTGGATAAAAGGCCTGCCTCACCTGAAGGAAAACAAACTAAGTTGCTTTTATTTCTGAAGTGCAAGAGGACCCATCAAAGCCAGATATACAGGAACACATGGGTAGGCTAACTGTCACTGGAAGAGGGTTTGAAAGTATGTAAGAGTATAGATGGCAAGCTGAGAAACAGGGTGTCTGTTTCCTCTAGACACAGGTGACTAGGAGCTACCACCTCCGAATTAATGGACAAGTCCTGAGCAAGGATCACATGCACACGCTCACTTAAAGCCCACCAGAAAGACACTCACCTTACAGATGAAAGCTACAACCAGCGAGGGGTCCCTGCCACCCGGTTTCTGGGAAACACCTGAGGAAAACAAACCTGATTATAACAAGGTGAACGTGAAGGTTTACAGGCTCACAGACTGATGATCATCTGATACCTAATGTGACACAAAATTCAACATAGTCATTCCAATACAGAGGCTGAAGAAACCACTGGTATTTTTCTCAAACAGACCTTTCCTTTTCCCTACTCCTGTTGAGATTTTAGTAAACAAATAATACAGAACTCCAACCAGAAAAACTTTAAAATGGTAAGTGAAATGTTTAAAAAATGACACATTTTACCTAGGAGTAGAGAGGAGAGACAAGCTCGGGTGTAATATGCTTTATAAACAAGTACAAGAATATGTGAAATAACACAAAGGCCACGAGGCCTGTAGGGAACATGGTGCCATCTATGAAAGGGCAGCATACGGGGCAGCTCTTTCTCTGTTACCAGCACAGCCTCAGATCACAAAGAGGCACTTATCAGGCTATGCCCAACACTGGACAACAGAATCCTCAAGTGGTCCATTCCTTTGCTACATCTAATGTTAGAGCTTTAGTTCAGTTTCCCAGAAAGTTGTTGTTCTGAAGAAAAAGGTGCAGATCCACTCACTGGTATGAGTGCTCCTTCAGCTTGGCAGTTATAGATTCTGCACTCATGAAAAGTTAACCTGCATTACTGAGAAGCATGAACACCTCTGTATGAATCCCATCACTAGGCCCTGCCCTGCTCTGGGACACCGAACACAGAGCCTGGGCCCACCCAGGGTGCCAGCTGGCCCTGAGAGCACCATGTGGCCACCTTCCTGGGGCCTCCTCTCGCTCCCACAGGCCACGTCCTAACGAACAGCAAGTACCCACTGTGCTGCACAGCCTTGTGATGGTAACAATTCTAATTTAGAGTATCAAGAGGCAACAAATTAAGAAAACAGAAATCTCTTGGCAGAGCACTGGTTTGTGTGAACAGGATTACCGGCTGGAAGGCGCTGCTCACTTTCAGTTGATTGCGAGGCTGGAGACTGCCCCGGACTGAACCCTTCGGGACTCTGTGATGGCTGGTGTGCGTCACACCTCTGTTCACCTGGTTGTTATGGGAAACAGTCGAATGACACACCACGGAAGGTGAGCCCATGGCCAGAGCCAGATGCGCACCCGTGGGAATGCCAGAATGCCCCTGAAGTCCGCAGGTCTTCTCCTGTGGATAGGTGACTAGTTACCCCCACCCGCCCCGGGCCCCTGGGCCACATCTGCATGTTACTCATCTTTACGGTTCTGCTCAGCTCAGAGTGTTGAGTATAGAAGGAACTCAACGGATTTGTTGACTGAAAAGCATGCAGGTAGTGTGCGGAATCATTCACTACCATCACTCTCATTAACAGATCCAGGCCTGAAGGTGACCCACCCCATCTCTAAGAGGAGCCTGAGTTTGCAGTCAGTTCAGTCTCAAGGTCAAGGGGAAAAAAATCACGGCTCTAAGAAGCTGACACACAGCCGCTTGCCTCAAAAAAGCCTGCCCACCCTCTGTGCCCACTGAGTGCTGGGAAAGCATGGCCAGCAGGCTGAGCAGTGCTGCATGCACCAATACATAGAGATGGACTCATGCGTGCTAGGGAGCGGGGACAGGGCACGGGGAAGGAACAACAGAGGGACACAAATCAGGCTGGGGGTGGCGGTGGGGGTCAGGAAAGCGAAGACACCTGACCAGGCGTGAGCCACACTGAGCAACTGCGGGGAGTCTAGGTCTCCCCTGCCTGCGAGCACTATGCCGTTACTGGAGCCACTCCCCTCACCTCCCTCCTTCTGCCTGGGTCAGCATAAGCCTCATCTCCCCGTCAAGACCCAGACTTCTCCAGCCTTTCATGGGACTCTCGTCACTATCCCTTCAGGACTTGGCAAGCATCAGACCAGTCACACCACCAAGGAAATGCCCCTATGGACTTGCATTCTCCTCTTAGTTGGTACTCCTGTCCTGGAGTATGTCAGTCAGCACTCAAGTACTCCGCTGACATGACAGGGCCTGACACGCAGGCTGTCTCTAAGTCCAAACCAGGTCCTCTGGCCCTGGGCCGTGTGCAGGGATCTTCTGATCCCCTAATATGTCTATTAAGTTGCTGTTACCAGTATTTATAAAAAAATGTCTATCAGTGCAACCTCTCCAGAATCCTTTCATTAAAGGAGGGTTCTTACATCTGTGGCAAATAAACCCCAAACAATAATGGTGTAAATCTGAGAACAATCTGTTTTCTGATAATGCTTGATTATGTGCTATTCCAAAGTGTAGTCCCCATCACTATACATGAGTTAAACCTGTCTGTCCCTAGGATATAAGCTCTTTAAGGGCAGGAACCCTATCTTAATTCCTCAGCTTAATTTCCTATTAATGCTCAGAGCACAAAACCAAGTCCACAAAGCCAGTATTCAGGTAGTATCTCATGCACCAATACATAGAGATGGACTCATGCGTGCTAGGGAGCGGGGACAGGGCACGGGGAAGGAACAACAGAGGGACACAAATCAGGCTGGGGGTGGCGGTGGGGGTCAGGAAAGCGAAGACACCTGACCAGGCGTGAGCCACACTGAGCAACTGCGGGGAGTCTAGGTCTCCCCTGCCTGCGAGCACTGTGCCGTTACTGGAGCCACTCCCCTCACCTCCCTCCTTCTGCCTGGGTCAGCATAAGCCTCATCTCCCCGTCAAGACCCAGACTTCTCCAGCCTTTCATGGGACTCTCGTCACTATCCCTTCAGGACTTGGCAAGCATCAGACCAGTCACACCACCAAGGAAATGCCCCTATGGACTTGCATTCTCCTCTTAGTTGGTACTCCTGTCCTGGAGTATGTCAGTCAGCACTCAAGTACTCCGCTGACATGACAGGGCCTGACACGCAGGCTGTCTCTAAGTCCAAACCAGGTCCTCTGGCCCTGGGCCGTGTGCAGGGATCTTCTGATCCCCTAATATGTCTATTAAGTTGCTGTTACCAGTATTTATAAAAAAATGTCTATCAGTGCAACCTCTCCAGAATCCTTTCATTAAAGGAGGGTTCTTACATCTGTGGCAAATAAACCCCAAACAATAATGGTGTAAATCTGAGAACAATCTGTTTTCTGATAATGCTTGATTATGTGCTATTCCAAAGTGTAGTCCCCATCACTATACATGAGTTAAACCTGTCTGTCCCTAGGATATAAGCTCTTTAAGGGCAGGAACCCTATCTTAATTCCTCAGCTTAATTTCCTATTAATGCTCAGAGCACAAAACCAAGTCCACAAAGCCAGTATTCAGGTAGTATCTGCCATTTACACTGTCTTTACTAAGCCCTATGTCCCCTCGCCCTGGGAAATACAGCTTCCATGCTCACTGTGTATAGGGATCTGGAAAACCGTCATGGTCTCATCCTTGTACTCGGGCGCAGAGTGGGGCCGCACAGCTATGTGAGAAAGAGTGACAGAAAGGGCCTGCGTCAGTAAAGATGTGGGTGAAAATTAGCTTTCCTGATTAGCAGCCACAAACAACTGAAACTGCCTTGGAATTCTGGTGGGGATCTACACGAAAACCAGAATTTCTGGGTAAATTAAAGTTTCTATGAAAGACACAAAAGTGTATTTTCATCAGCCATCAATACTTAATTACAGCCAAATGGAAAAACATATTATGATCACTAGTGACCATCCATTAAAAAAATAAAGCAATACTTAAATTTGAGGCACAAGTTAACACAAAGCCTGTGAGGCCAGACTCTATCATCACAAATGTAAGAGCTGGCATACAATTTGAGAGAGAATATCAGTCTTTCTACAGAAGAGCGCTAATAAGCCAGAGATGCACACTGCCTCCAGGACAGGGCCCTGCCGGCACCGCACCCTCAGTTAGGCCTGTCCCCATGCAGAGGCCACTTGCCTCCCAGCACAGCCAGGGCTGACATTCAGTGTGAAAGGATGGTGACAAAACCCGTCATTTCCTCTGCTCACACCCCCTCTTCCTACTGCAAAAATTCAAGGCAGTTCAGTGCTGAGAACCACGTCCAGCCTATATGCTGGAGGGGGTGGGGAATGGGGATAGGAAGCAGGGACATAGAAAGGGCAACAGGCAATATTTAAAAAATTCCTCTAATGTTGATGAAGTATTCTGTTTCTTGTGGTGGATTCTAATTTGAGAGATTGGGGGCATTACAAGAAAGAAATGGCAGATGAGTCAGAGTCACCTACCCAGGTCTATTCCTTTCAATGGCCCAGAAAATATTTTGATAGCTTCTAGGTATTTTTCCTACAAAAGAAAAAGTGAGCAGTTATGGCTGTGCAGATGCAGAACACAGCAACATATCAAGTACGTAAGAGGTCATGACAGGTATTAACATCAACTTGAGTATTCTGAACTGCCTTTATACAAGTATCTACTGAGTATCCATACATGTTATATGCCAAGAATTTATCAGTGAGGAGACGGTGTGCTTGCCCTCAGAAACTCAGAATTCAGGGGAGAAGGTAAAAAGTAAGTAAGTGGTAACACAAACCATGTGCTAGCCATGCCCTGCAAGGAACATGAAAAATGCAGAGCTCTGGGATACAGCTTGTCAGGAGAGTCAGGGACGGGTCCTGCGTAAATGGCCTTGTAGCTGAGCCCTGAAGGTTCAGACAGGTACAGGCAGGGTGAGGTGGTAGAGGGAACTCCTGGAACCCTGACACAGGGAGGTGCTTCAGGAAAGAGTGAAGGTCCAGCCCAGGCAGCCCAGCTCGGTGACTGGGATACAGATGCAGGCGTGGGCCAGGGCCAAGGCCTTCTGAATGTGTAGGCCATGTTTGAGATGTTTGCAGTCTATTGCAATGGAGACCCCTGGAAAGTTCTGGGATGTGAGACACCTACACTTATACCTTAAAGAGATCCCTCTGGCTGCTGTGTGGCAGGTGGATTACAGGGAAGCAAGAACAGATGTGGGCAAGATCACAGTAGAGATGTAATGAAGGTCTCAATAGGTGGAGACAAATGGATGAATCTGAGGCATTATTTTAGAGACAGGATTAACAGAACTAGGTGACTGGCTGCTTTTCACCTTAAGAACTGGGAAATGAACTTTTAGATGCAAGTCTTAACAATATGCACACAACTTCTCATCAAGGTAATAAGCTGGTTCAGAAGGTATGACGATGTCTGAAATTTAATAGATAAGAATAAAAGCTAATACTTATTGTGTGCCTCCTTAACACAAAACATCTAATAAAGTTATTCTGTGCTTTACATGTGTGAACTCATTTAATCCTTGACAACTCTATGAAACCTTAGAGCCACTGTACAGATGAAGAAACTGAGGCTTCAAGAAGAAAAGTAACTTGTTCAGCAACATAGAGTTAATAAGGTTTAGACTCAGGTCTCTTTAACTTGGAAGGGGAAGCGTGTACTCCACTATTAGTTTTCTCTCAAGGTCAGAGGACTGATTTGCAAAAATGGAAATTCTTGTTGCAAACATTAAAAAAGCAGAGGTTCTCTTTGAAAGCCGAGTCAGGAGAGACTCACCAGTTGTGGAGGTCCAGAAAGTACACACTTTGGAAGCCCAGTTTCCTTTAAGGTAAGAATCATTCCTAAAGGGACAAATAAAACCAGATCTCTCATCAACATGACCTGCAGTCACTACCCAGAAGAGCACACCTTACTTACCCAGCTATTCACCTGTTTGTCTGCTTTCCACCTTCTAAACAGGTATCAGGGACCAAGCACAGAGCAGAGCTAATGCTAACCAGAGGTCTAAGGGACAAGAAATATCCTGCCAAGCCTGCTTGATGGGCAGGGCTGAGACTAGGCTGAGGCGGTAATATACACCCAGTGAAGGATGGCCTTAAACACTGCACCTGAGGCACCGCTCCTGCTTAACCTAGTCTGGACTCTGAGAATGGGACTGGCTCAGCACTCTACTTCTTCCCACCCACATCACAAAGCTTACAGCATCTGGCAGCAACAGTCTTCACGCTCCTAAATGCATGATCTGGAGAGCATCTGTGTATGGCTGCCGATGGTCTCAATGATATGTATTTACTGTAGTCACCACCACTACATCCTCCAGTTTACTGTCACATGTCTCCTGTCCAGTAACTCAATAAAACAAGTGGATGGTAACACTTGAAGGCACTATCTGTGTCAACATCTACTCTCCTGGGTCACAGCTGTGGATGTTCTAAGCTGCAGCTGACTGGGCTAGCATACAAAGAATTCCAGCTCCCCAGACTTGGAGGATGGGCAAAAAAAAAAAGGGCAAGGCAGGTTAAAACCCCAGAGACTTAGCTGCAGCCTCTGCCCTCAGAACAGACTTACCACACAGTCCCCCAACATTACACCAGTGCATTCGGGTCAGGAATATGTTATCCAAACGAGCCACTTTCAGCCTAAGAAAGAGAAAGCATTTCAGCAGGACAAAAGGGATTGACCAGGGACCTTTTCTTCTGCTATAGAAGTTCTGCCTCTCACCTCAGCTTTCAAACCCCATAATCATCCCCACCTCGAGAGAATATGGTTGACTCACTTGTGCTCCTGCATGAGTCGCTGGACGCCTTCTCCACAGTTGAATAGGTACCTACAGGACAAACATCACACGAGATACTCAGAAGAGGTTACTCCATAAAATATTTGACACCCTTTGGATGCTTTACAGTACACTCTGGGGACAAAAGCAACTAAAATCCATGCTGCACTACAGGGCCGTATTTCTGCTGCCAGGCCGCTAAATTCTGACCCTTAGCACGGCAGAGGGACGACTGGGAGCCTGTGTAGGCTGCTGCTGGGGACGACGGGTCCTTCCCCCATACCTCCTCACCAGACCTGTCTGCCGCACACAAAAACCTTCAGGCCGTCTTAGGGTACGCGGGACTGGGCAGGCTCGGAGAGTGCCAAGAGGGAACTCGGGGCTCAAGGATTGGAAAGAGGACGCTCATACCCAAGCCTGAAGTTCTTCAAAGACTCCCGGAAACTACGGACGTAGGAGTAAGGAATATAAGCTCTCCCACCCACCAAAAGACCAAGATCGGCTGCGATAGTGAAATCCCACGTGTGTAAAGGGGTAACCGCAGCCCCGAGGGAAGCCGCGGGGCCCCGGAGCGCGCAGTTCAGAGGGCGGGGCGGGACGGGGCTCGGCCAGGGGCGCCGCGGAGGCCGGGTCGGACCCCGGGCGCGGCGAACTGACCGGTTGTACTCGGAGAAAACATAGACCGCTGCGCCCGCGTCGCGGCCGCCGGCCGCCACCACCTGCAGGTACACGGTGTTCGGACCCCCGGGGTCCCACGACGGGCCGCGCTTCTCCCGCGTGCGCAGGTGCCGCAGCGGGTCCTTGGGCGGCCGCTGGCGGCGGGCGGGTGTCTGCGACATGCTGCGCCCCGCCGCAGACCGCAGCAGCAGCAGCGAGCGGAGAGCCCACATGCACCAGCCTCCAGCCCGGCGGCGAAGGGAGCCGGTCACAGTCCCCGAAACCCTCGCCCCACCCCTCCGCCGCATGGCCGACTAAGCCAATCAGCGCGCCGCGAGCCGGGCTGCCCGCCTCCGAGAAGCTGCGAGTCCAATAAAGAAGAAGCTTGTCGCTCCCGACTTGTCAATTGGCGGAGGCCATAGAGTGTAGGAATGCTAGAGCGCCCCAAAAGCACCGCCCCTTTTCTCTTTCCTGGAGTCAATTCCTTCCGGAAACTGTCATTTGCTTCGGACGGGACTTCCGGGAGCCTGGCGCTGAGAAAAGCAAGTACGGAAAAGAACTGAGGTTTACGTTGCAGGTTCCGCTCGGGGCTTCGAACAGTGTATGTTTAGGTCCCGGGAGAGGAAATTTCGGGGAAAAATACCTCTAAAACGGAGATCAGTCAAAGGGAGAAATAAAGTTTAAAATCCGTTTATTGCTTGCAAGTTGCAGACCAGGCCCTTCTCACTTTCCTGCTCCAGCAGAAGCAAAACCGGCCCTCCCCCTCATCTCTCAGGTGCAGATAAGCCCTCTGTTGCCCAGGTAATTTACCCACTGATATGGAGATGAACTTCTCTCCACCCCTGAGGAATGATGCAAATGAACTAAAGCCATACTTCTTTCCACCTCTGAACATCTACTGATATGCAGATTACTGAAGCCAGGTGAGAGATTCTGGAAATATTACAATTTAACCCACATAGTATAAGCACTTGTAAGTATGATTGCCAGGAATGAGTTCCCTCACCCCGACCATCTCTTGATTGTGCTCACAAATCAAACATCTGCATCCACAAAGCTGGGACAGATACTGGCTTCCCAGGCTCTTGTGAACTGACCAATGGACACCACTCAGGGGCTCTGAGTCACCCACTGGCCTTGCTCACACATCACTCAGTCATGTATTCATTCACTCAAACAACTCACAGAGCTTGTATTAGTTTCTAGATACATGCCAAGGCATTGACTTGCATGCAGATATGAATAAGATTGACATAGTTTGGGCATCCAGAAGCTTAGAAAATTGGTGTCTTGGGGGCTGGAATGGAGGCTGTTAGTCTGGGGAGAGGAAATCCTGGGGCAAAATACCTCTAAAAACTAAAATCAGTCAAAGGGAGAAATAAAGTTTAAAACCCGTTTATTGCTTACAAAACTGCAGTCTGGCCTATCTCTCTCTCCTGCTCCAATAGCAGCAAAACCGGCCCTCCCCTCACCTACAACTGCAATCCAGGGCCATCTCTCTCCTCTGCTCCATAAGAAGCAAGCAAGCAAGCCCTCTCCCCTTAACCTCTCAGGTACAGATAAGCCTTCCTTGCCCAGGTAATTACTCACTGATATGGAGATAAACTTCTCTCCACCCCAGAGGAATGATGCAAATGCACTAAAGCCATATTTCTCTCCATCCTTGAGCATCTGTTGATATGCAGATGTACTAAAGCCAGGCGAGACATTCTGGAAATATTACAGTTTTACCCACAGAGGCATAGCCCCAGGATGCCCAGGGAAAATGTTATAAGGGAATGGAGACAGTGATGTTCTCTTCTTCATTGTGTCTGACTCTTAGGTGTTACTAGTTTAGGTGCCTGGAAACCAGACTACTCCAAATGTGCTGGCCACAGTGCATCTGAGGGAGATTTTTTTTCTACATGTTTGAAAAAGGTTTTTTTTTTATTAAGGTATCATTGATATACAATCTTATGCTCAGATTTCACATGAGCAACATTGTGGTTACCACATTCCCCCTATTATCAAGTTGCCACCATATACCCCATTACAGCCACTCCATCAGTATAGTAAGCTTCTCTGTGCTATACTTCCTTCCCTGTGTCCTCCCTATTTTATGTGTGCTAATCATAATGCCCCTTGAGGGAGTTTTTTTAAAGCAGAAGTTATTTTGAGATCGTATAATCTTGCAAAGACAAATTACGTTGGCCCTAAGTCCCTCAGCAGGCTCTCACACTATCTATTCTTTGTTACTAAGAAATTTGAAACTGTTCGGGTAGGAATGGCTCACATTAGTCTCACAGCTATACTTGGCTGAGCTGTCACGGTGCTCCTCTCTCCCTGCAGGGGGAGCCTGTGCTGGTGTGCCCCTAATTTATTGGTCTTTCTGTATACATTGTTTCATCTAATGCTCCTGATGATACTGGGGCTCTTGTTCACTGAGCAGAAGAATGAATTTCGCAAACGCTCAAGGTAGGAGAGCAAGGTAGAGGCTTTTATTTAGATAAATTGAGAGGACAGATAAAGTGGCTCATGTCAGGAGGGGACAAGAGAGCCCCTGGTGGTGTGTTGTCTAGGGGTTTTATGCACGGTTGAGGATTTTCAGGAATGGGGGTAAAGGACTAGGGGTGAAGACTTGTTGAGTGGTCCCAGAATGCTCATTTTTGACAAGTAACAAAAGAAATTTGCTGTTCTGATTCTTTCTCAGGATAGCAGCTTCCCTCTGGGAGCATATCAATGACAACCACCTGCCCTGTCCCCAAGGTGGGCTGGGTTGTTGCCTGTTTGCTAAAGAGTGTGTTAAAAATCTTACTTCTTGAGTTCTTGGGCTGTTTATAGTTGGGATTGCTTACCAAATTAATCTTTTGCCCAGGTTGCAGATTACTTGATTAGGATTAGAGAAGGAAACACAGAATACAGGTATGGTTAAAAATAAACTAAGGTAAATTTTACAGTGTCATGATCTAATTGACACAGTGAAGTCACAGGTTATACTCAGATACTTTTCTTTATCTAGGGAACACTGAAACATTCCAGGCTAAGTTGCTTCTGGCCTTTTGAGCTTTAATTGATTTCACTGAAGAATGTCTGTATTCCTAGTCTGGTATCTTTACCCTAGAGAATTCGTGTGACTGACTTTGCATAATGCTTAACACGAAATTTTGATAGGGACTTTTTTGTACGTTGTTACATTGTTCAGACTGTAATTACCTTGCTTTGCTTTTTTCCAGAGGCCCTCACCCTACTCTGCCCAAACCCATGGCCCCTGACTCACTGACAACACTGCTAGGATGTAATTGTTACCTCCATTGCACAGCAAAGGAAACTGAAGGCTCAGAATCTTAATAACTTGCTTCTGGTCTACACAACTGTCTACCTCAAAGCCTGTAGGTGTAACCAAATTGCTGGGACCTCTTCCTGGGTGGTGATAGGATTCGGATCTTTTGGCCTTGACTTCCCATTCAGAAAGGGACCCCAGTGTAACCTTTGATAGTATTTCTGAGGTTGCACAATCAATACATTGACAGGCTTGAATGAAGATGCTTTCCAGACAACTTTAAACTTGTATGTCCTTATCACACTGTCTATACCACAGGGCAACATGCTAAGGCCTGGTGCCAAATTCAGCCCACAGTCTGCTTTTGTAAATAAATGTTTATTGGGACATGTAATCATACCCTTTGTTTACCTGTTGTCAATGGCCGCTTTGATACTACAACTGAGTGGAGTAGTAGGCCCACAAAATCCAAACTATTTACTACTTGGCCCTTTTAGAGAAGCTCTTTGATGATCCCTGGTCTATACTGTGAATTAATTTTTTAAATAAATCTCTTAATTATCTTGGGCATAGGAGCATTTCATGTTATGAGTGGCAAAGTAGTATTTCATCATTATTTGTGTCAAAATTTTTGTGTGTCCTTGTGTTTTCAAGAACATCATAGTTTTTCAAATTCTGATATATTTTTTAGTATACCAGGAGTCTCAAAAAATAAAAAAATAAAAACTGGCCCAGCCACCTCAGGTTTTGAGAGGCTGAGCTCAGCTGTAATGACTCCCTCCAGGCATCAGTCACCGTTCCATCCTCAGTGTCAGGCACAGTGCTGAGACTCGGGGTCTGGGGTGGGGGCTGCTCAGTTGGCAGTTGCTGATGGCATAGAGGCTCTGCATAGTATTCATTTTCTCAGGTTGCTGTAACATAAAACCATACACTGGGGATTTAAATAGCAGGAATGTATTTTCTCACAGTCCCAGAGGCTGGAAGTCCCAGATCAAGGTGTCGGCTGGGTTGGTCTCTTCTGAAGCCTCTCCCCTGATTGCAGGTGCCCCCCCAGCCCCCCACCACTGCGTCCCCACATGGCCTTTCCTCTGCGCATCCCTGGTCTCTTTCTGTGTGCCCAAATTTCTTCTTATGAGAATACCAGTCGTATTGGATGAGCTCCCACCATATGGCCTCATTTTAACTTCTGTCTTTAGATACCCTCTTCCAAATACAGCCATACTCTGAGGTCCTGGGGGTTAGGGGTCCAACATATGGATTGTGAGGGGCACAATTCAGCCCATCCCAGCTCCCGCCCTCCCCTCCTCCTATACCCCCCCCACCAGGACACCCTCAGCCTTCCTGTGTCTGCTGTCCCTAGACATTAGGAGAACTTGGAGGCCCTTCCTTAGTATGATCCCAGCTGGTAACTCTGAACCAGAGTTTCTCAGACGGGTTTCTGTCCTTCACAGACTCTTGCCCAGAGGCAGAGAGAAGCTATGAAGCAGCTCCTCCCATGGGGTTTGAATATTCTTCTGGGTTGATGCAGAGCTAGATCCCCTACCCATCAAGCCGGTGCGGCCGGCAGACTGGAGCTGCGCACGTTGTAGGTACAGCCCACGCTCTCGATGAAGCACCAGCCGGATGGCTCCCGCACTCAGCCTGCCGTGCAGCCCTCCCTCCAGCTCTCGCTCAGAGTGGGGAGACCAGTTCCCAGCTCGGGGAAGTGGTCCCCGGGGAGTGCGGCGCACGCCGTCGCCACTAGAGGGCGCCGTGGCGCTGCTGGGGAGCCCAGCCCTGCCCTCTGGGGAGGCAGCCCCTTGGCTCCTACTTCTTCTGAAGTGAACTTTAGCCGGCCCAAGGGCTAAGCCCTGTGTTGCCAATAAGGGAAAAGCACCATGTTTAACCGGGGATCTCAGAGACTTCTGGGAGGCTGGCAATTGTGAACTGTAATATTTCCCTTCACTTTTTATGCTGAACATTTCAAACGCATTAAACACCCATCCACCCATTACTTATATCCCACCAGTAACATTTGGGGCACATGATTTGTCATCCAT